TCATTTCCTTGAATGTCTTATATCATCGAAAGTATAAGAGATATGAAAAAAAGTTTTATATAAAAGTGACTGTCTTTGATATGCTTAATTTAGAATTGATGTCAAAAAAAAATTCAAGATGGCCACTTTTGAGGAACATTTACCAACTTCCTAAAGTTAAATAGGCGCTATATGAGATGTTTAGATTACTTGGTAGATTTTTTAATTCTCTTCAACGAGCCATCATAACATAAGATTGAAAATAAGATACCAGTTATATCAACGGTTTTTGTATTTTAATCAAGTAGGCTGTGATGAATTAAAAAAAAAACAAAACAAAATCTATTCGAGCCAACAAAACAATGAAAATAATTACATCAGATGTTTAAAAAATCAGGGGTGCACCCATGAGAGGGGGGGCATTACAACTCCCTCCAAAATTTTATATAAGTAGGCCTAGAAAAATTTTGATTTTTATATCATCACTTATTGACTATCTTATTATCCATACTTACATACCTACAAATGGTGGTATAACTACAAACTATCCCCTCGAAAAAATGTCAGATTCACTTTCCGACGAAGACATGCTTGTAAAATTTCTACAAATTTATCTGAGAGAAACACAAATATAGGTTAAGAATTTGACATAAAACAAAATTGTAGGTATTGAAGCACAAGTCTGTTGTTCACATTAGTGGTTATGTGTGACTGCTTCATTTCGCTTTAAGTGGTGTGGGGTGGCTACAAGTGGCAGTGGTTATATGTGACTGCCGCCTATGACATTAATTCACTAAGCTAAAGTTGGTTAACTTTTAACTTCTTAGTGTAAATGATAGTGAAAAAGCGAAATACCTTTGTACGTTTTTGTGTGGCCGGTGTTTTGTGATTTTGTAAACTTGTTTAAATTTAGGTGTACTGTATGTAATAGTTCTAGGTAATTACTCTTCGTTTCATTATACTTGGTATGTTTTTGTGCTGCCGGTGGTGTACTTGGTTAAGCGTTCATTGTTTTAGTAATATGGATGAAGAAGATGTGGTTTTCTCCTTCTACCTATTAGTATGTTGCGCTGCACTTGTGCATTTGAAGCACATGCGACACCGACGCTACAAGGTGAGGCCCATCAACCGGCAACGGCATCGCTATGGCCATTTTCATCGGAGAGTGCAGTTGATGAAGACCCTTCAGGATGACGAACAATACGTGAAATTCACGAGGATGTCTCCTGCGGTGTTTGATAATTTATTGGGGATTTTAGGACCGGCACTTCAAAAAGACGTGATTAAATTGTTGAATGCATCCCTAAAATCTTGTAAGAAATATTATTAAGTTAGTAACAATGAAAAAGAAGAATAAGATGGAGTACTTTTGAGTTAAAATAAAAATATATAAAATGTATTGTACGTGTTTAATTTGTATATTTGCAGTTCAAGAACGTTTAAAAATACAACAAAAATGCCCTATTTCACCTGCAGAACGATTAACAATAAGTTTGCAGTGAGTAATAATGATAAATATAAATGCAGAACCTTTCAATGATATTTTGTAGTAACTTGGTAGAAGGCTGCTCGATGCAGAAAGTGGCGACAGATTTTTATATTGGCAAGGCAACTGCACACTGCATCATCAAAGAAACGTGCTCTGTCATTTGGGATAGTCTTTCGTCACTGTATTTGTCTCCACCTACTCATTACGAGTTTATTAAAATTTCAAAGGGGTTCTACAACAGGTGGAACATGCCAAATTGCCTCGGTGCTTTGTATGGTAAGCACGTTCACATACAAGCACCAAAGCACAGTGGTAGCGACTATTTTAATTATAAGAAGAGTAGCAGATACGTAACAAAGAAAGTGATACATTGGTGTTTGAATATGAATACTTTCAGTATCGTGTTGATGGCAGTGTGCGATGCATTTTATAAGTTCAATCTTGTCGACATCAGTGCATATGGGTCACAATATGATAGTATCGTGTTTTCTGACTCGCCATTTGGAAGTGCCATTTTGCACCGGCAAAGGGAAATTTTGGATCTTCCCCACGAGATGGCTTTGTCCAATACCGACGGAAGACTACCCTATTTTTTGTGGCGGATCATTCCGCTACACGAAGAAATTATGAGGCCATATCCAGGATAAAGACTAGGTGAAGCCAAGGAAATATTCAATTACCGGCTGTCTCGAGCAAGGCGAACGATCGAAAACACCTTTGGGATTTTGGCTTCACGTTGGAGGGTGTTTCGGAAACCAATCATTGCAAATGTTGAAACCTGTATAGCGATCACAAAGGCATGTGTGGCGCTGCACAACTTTTTACAAAAGGGAGAGGAAGATTTACCACTAGAGCAACGACGATACTCCATTCGCGCAGACGGAGTAGTAAACGAAGGAACGTGGAGGTCAGGAGGAGAACAGCTCCGATCTGTGCGACGTTAGGTTCCAATCATTCAACCAAAATTGTAAGAGAAAATCGTGATATGCTGGCGGCATATTTCACCAGCCCGGAAAGAGGTGTACCGTGGCAGTACGATGCAATTGCACGTGGATCGTTGCCTACTTAAACAAATTGTTTTATATTGTATGAATTTTTTTATTAAAGAAATGAAATATCCAACATAGTTTTAAAAATATTTTGTTTTTTTCTTTTTTTGTTCTGGCGGCATGTCTTTTAAATGCAGGCCAATCATGCGACCGAAACTTATGTCACTGTCGACTTCTTCTAGATTTCCTTTTTCCTCGCCTTTCTTTTTCAGGTAATCCTCCAACGTTCCCAACGACGTTTGGAGGACATCTTCTAATGAAGTGGCCGCTTTTCTTTTCTTCCCCCTTGTCTCTGCAGCCCGTAGAAAGGCTGTCTGCTGGGGTATGCTGGTGGAAGGCGTTTCCCTGCTGGTGGAAGGCGCTTCCCTACTTTCAGCCAGCTCTTCTAAAGTAATGATATTAATATTAACTTCACCCGAATTACCTTGCGACTGTTGTGCTTCTGTGATATGGGGCATCACACCCCACACGTTGCTATGCCCTACATCGGCATCCTCCTCTTCGCCACCGTCATGAGAGGGGTGTCCCTCTATCTCGAGTGGTGGGTGCCCTTCTGCACTTGCAGCACACGAGGACCGTTGGACATTTGAGGTCGTACTAATAAAAGATATTACAACATTAAATACAACAGATCTACGTTCTTACTGTCTGCTCTTGATGAATCCCAATAGGAACAGAATTTTTTTGTATAAGTCATATAATTCCACACCTCCTCCAGCACTGGAGGCGTTTAATGCTGCCACCCGCCTCTTTTCAGTTACGAATCTATTACTCAGCATCACGAAACGTTGCTGGCATTCCTCCGCTGTACAATTATAATGTAGGCACATATTTACAACGCTATGAATTACCATTTCGCTCCACCATCTGCCCAATGGTCTCCCAGGCATTCTTTTTTGCCTACTTATTCTTAAAGTCGTGGTGGCTCTTGTCGTAAATCTGTCGAAACAATTTCACGACGTTGATGGCTCATCCTCAGCGTCAAGCATCTGTGGATATTAAATGTTTTTGGGTGTTTCTTGGGTGGTAAGCTTACTTACGTTGGGACTTTCCTCTGACTCAAGTTTCGAATAAAAACGTATGTACACAATGTTAGCAACTTATATGGAACTAAGAGAGGTTAAAAACTACGTTACAAACTAGGAAGGATTAAACTACGATAGGAACTAGGGATGATTAAAACTACGTTAGGAAATGGGAAAAAAATTTAGGTTTTATTATAGTTATGATACATAACGTAAACTTTGTGTGGTGCAGAGTACATGGTAGATATGAGACGCGTATTATTTTTTTCCTAAGCTCTTGTTAAGTTGTTAAAAGACCGCGATGTTCAATCTTTAATTCTAACCTAAAAATTTTTATACAGGGCCGGCTTTATTTTTTTGTGTTATTTTCAGGGTGACTTGGGACATGCCTAATAAATACAAAAGAGTACAGGGAAGTCGCAAATATCGCGACTTCTCGGACGAAGTACTGGATAGAGCACTAAGAGAAATAAGAAATAATAAATTGTCATTTAGGAAAGCTAGTGAAAGTCGACCTTAGAAAGGAAACATAATAAAAAAATACGAAAACGGTAGGGGGTCAAACAATTAACTGAAAATGAAGAAAAATTAATATGTCACGCAATTGCATTAGCTTTAGCTAGTGACTGGGGATTTCCGTTCGAATCATGTGATGTTATGGAATTAGTTCAAGGCTACATGAACAGACAAGGGAAGAGAATTTCAAAATGGAATAACAACAGACCTGGAATTAGCTGGTATTATGGATTTATTGCAAAAAATACTGAGTTAAGTTTACGTCTCTCTGAAAATATAAAAAGAAGTAGAGCTGATGTTTCGGCAACAGTGCTCAACAACTACTTTGATAATCTGGAGGTTTCGTTAGCAGGGATTTCCGTTGAAAACATTTTAAATTAACGCGAGTGGATTTATGTACAATCCTGGTAAGAATAAAGCGGTAGGCAGAAAGAAATCAAAGCACGCAGAAAGAGTGTTGGAATCGTCTAAATCCAATACATCTGTCATGTTCTGTGTAACAGGCAGTGGCAAGATGCTGCCACCTTACATAGTATACAAAGCGGAGCATATCTGGAGTACATGGACCGAGCGAGGTCCTGCTAATGCGAGATATAACAGGAGCAAATCTGGTTAGTTTGACCAAAGCCTTTTCGAAGACTGGTTTATGAAATTGGCATTACCATATATGAAAAACTTCGATGAAATGGTACACAATTTCGTGGCAGATGATGCAGTAATTCTAACCATAGGTAGGTGTGTAAAACGGTATAAGTAAGTATACCTAGATATTACAATAATTTGAAAATCTATACCTACTAAATTTAACGACATGCACAATTTTAGTAAATAAAAATGCCAATGATGCAAGAGGTGATGAGTCCTGGGAAGAGTTACTGATAAAATTTGTGCAAGACAGACCAGCCCTTTATAATATAACAATTCCGGTTGCGGCAAAGAAGAAAATAAACATATATAAACCCAGTGGCTCAGCATCACAACCGGCACCCGAACCAGTCTTCCGATTTTACAAAATTCTTAGACGATACATTGGATACAAAACCGTATGTAAAATTGTTCGTAGATATCTTAATCTGTAGCTAATGAATAATTTTTTAGTACCGTCAGTTCTGTTGTTCAGCAGATGATTTCTCCTACTCCTTCAATGTCCAGTGAGCAAGAAAGAAATGGTTAGGATTGTCCGGAAGAACAAATAGACAAGATAATAAACCCAACAAAAAGTAAATAAGCCTTTTCATTCTTCCAATTTCATGTAATGTAATGTTATGAACTAACACATTTTCTTTCAGTAAGAAAGCAAGATGAGAGAAAAGAAATTCAAAATGCGTTATTGAATGCTCTGGAAAAACCTCCTACAATAGATGGAACGGAGGGGTTTTTGATAAGGTTGGGAGAAAGCTTACGAAGATTTCCCGTTAGAGAAAGAAATAAAATGGAAATATATATCATGACAATTGTTTATGACAGAGAAATACATTTGAATTTAATGTAAATATATTGTAACAAATTTTTGTATTACAATGCTAATTTTACCTTATTCCGTACTGGACTCTTAAACTAATTTTTATTGATAATAAGTATTTTAAACTATACACCTAAACATTCTACACTTTACGATTGTGTAGTTATTTATTATATAAGACGATAAAGCGATATTTTAACCATTGAGCGAAAGATGTTAATTCACGAGTGGCGCGTAGCCTACTCATTCAAACCTATTATCCTCCCGTTCAGTCCGAACATATTATCATGATTAAAACGTAGTCCGCCCCTGGTGCCGTGCACCATGTTTAGAGAGGTAAAGTGAAAACTGTACCTGCGTGACCCGCGCGTGCTTTGCCTCAACAGTCAACTCATTTGTTTCTGGTGCATCTTGTCGTTTACATCGGTGCTTGCGCGCCTCGTTGTTCACTTTACTGCGTTTTTAGGTCTAGTTGCTGTTTTATTAGTGGTATTTTGGTAAGTGCGAGTTACGGTAATTCTAACGTTGATTCTGTCTCTGTTAGTACTTACCTTGATTATGGGGAAACACAAAAGGAAGCATACCCAGACAACGCATGATATCCATTGGATATGCGGTTCATGTCCAAAAAGTGCACTACACGTCCATGGATGTCTAATGGACACCATATGTATATCCGTTTTTGGATGTTTTTATACGACTATCCATCACATATTCATTTGCCGTCCAATTTTGGACATCCATACCTATAACATTCGTTGTTCGATGGATGATAGGTCTGCTGTTGAAACACGGTCGACCGTTTAATTAATTATTGTAGTTCCTTGTTTTTGTTTTAGTTTTTGTATGACAAGTATTTAATAAAAAAAAAATGCCACGAACGGTACATAATATGTGTAGTCATAAGTGTTTGACGTTAATCACGAAGCATTCTCCGTGTTAAAGTTTTAGTCCATTGAAAAGTTACATTTGGGGTTGCGTTTATCAGAGGACGCAATTTTCTTTTTTAGATATCAAGGGGGGGTTGGTCTAAAGTTAAATCCGAGTTTGTGGGGTTGCAGCTCTTGTCCCGCGGCCGCCATCTTGGAAAAAGTGGTGCAAATGGGTTTTATGGTTTATCTGACAAACTATTGATCTCACAAAAAATTTATTCAGAGATTCTCTACAACTTTGGTCCAGTAACTTTTAGTCGTAGAAGCAAAATTAACAAAGTTATAAACGAAAATTACGTATTTGATATTTAAATGTGATTTTTCCTAACAAATTTTTCACTATAGTAGTAAAATTCCGTCAAAATGGGAAATTTGTTTAAAAATATTTAAAATTCAGGTGCTTTGCGCTAGCTGGGTTTTCAATGAAGATTTTTTTTCTTATTGCATTTCATTTAGGCACTCCATAGGCATTGTTATTAGGTATATATAGCATTTCTTTTTAGATCTGAAAGAAATATTTGCCTTACTTTTGTTGCCGCTGTTAATACCCCCGTGCCCAATTAAAAGTGAAAAGGTTGGCGCGAGGTATAAGCCCTCTAAAATTGAAATTCAACATGCCTGCTGCTGTTTAATTGATGTAAGTTTTTTTAATTTTTAATGTTGCACCTAGAAATGATATTTGTTCATTCAGGATATAAGCAAATTTTCGGAGCAATTGGAAGGACGTAGGGAGAAATTATTATCTATCAACGAAACTCTGCAGCCATCAGTTGTAATCGTAGGGTCTTTGGAAGACATAAAAGCATCGTATGTGGTAATTGATAAAGTTCAGTATAAACTTGAAACGCCTCAACGAACGGTGGATATTGGTTTTAAATAGTTCCACGCTCTTTCAGCAAAATATCCATGTTAAGCTGAACATGTTTGGCTATTTTTGCAAAAGTATGTAATATAAAGGTGGGAATACAGTGCGATCAATATTGAGTTGCTGCGCCGCTTCAATAAATTATGACGTTAGTAATCATTTGCCGCAACAGGCCTGGTGCACCAATACTAAAACATAACCTTAAAGTAAACTTTTGACGTTTAACCATATTTAACCTAAATCAACGATTTAACCACCTTGTAAGTTTCCAAATTATGTGGAACTACACGAATAACGAATTACTACAAAAATTGAAACGATTTTATTTCTTTTACAACTCGTTAATATCGAAGTAATTGGGTAAATTACATGCACACTATAACAACTGTTCGAAGTGCTCGCCACCATTATTAAGACAGGGATTCACTCTTTTCTTCATGTTTTCGAAGCCGGCATGTAAGTGCTGTTGCGTAATGTTTCAAACGGCAGCTTCTATACCTGCTCGGAATTCGGCAATGGTGTGTAAACGATTTCGAATACGTTGCCATCTCGTAAATTTGCATGCAATAATTTAGACGGCTTTGCAAGTCTGGACGATGAGTTCTTGTAACACGGTTACTTTAAAGGATAGAAGTACAATTTTCTCCAGGCAATAGCGTCACACGTTCCGTATGAGATGCCCGTTAGTGGGACAAATTGTCGCAGCTGCTTTTTCCGACTTTGCTCAAGACGAGCAAGAACATCTTTTACAACCTCCTTATTAGCAATCACTAAGCGGCCAGGTGACTTCCCAGAAGCAAGACTTCCTGTATGTTAAACCGCTCAAGTAGACGATGAGCATTTCGGCGTATATTGTTGTAATCCTCGTCATGGTTGACAATCGTTTATCGAAACTCCTGTATACACAAACGTATCGAGTACTCCCAAACTCCACTTTCGTCTTTAGTCCCATTACGGAAACAGGACAGCAAACGCATCTTATTCTCTTCTAAAGTAAAAGGCTTGTCGGAGTAAACCTATTGCCTATTACACGCTACAACTAAAAAAACGTTTGTTTGTAATTTACAAGTAATTTACCCACCTTGTAAATATTCGAAAGAAACTGGTAGTCTTGAAAAAAGCCGTTTTGAAAGGGACGAAAGTATTCGAATAAGAATCACAAATCATGGTTTTGGTTTGTAAAATTATAGGTTATGTTTTGTATTGGTACACATATACCTGGTTGCGGCAAATGATTACTAATGTGATATTTTATAAGAGCGGCGCAGCATATGATTATTGATCTCCCTGTAGTCGAAAAACACACAAGTTTACACAGTAAGTACGTGTTGCGCAACACGTACTTAAGGTGGATTTATAAACTTGAGGTTACCGTTGCAGTTCCCGTTGCCGTTCGCCGTTTGAGGTTAAAACAGGCGAAGTATGGGGTTCTATTTATAAAATACGTTGACGTTAGCGTTGCCGTTCTCGCGAAAGTTCGTGCAGTTCGATACATAACCAACTTTTAACTTTCGCCGCTGTCGTTCGACATTCAACCAATAGCAGCGCTTATAAAATTGTCTCTTTGATCTACTCCCACCTAGGTAAAAAGAACTATCATTTATCATTAGTTCAGTGCGAAGTTCGGTTTGGTTCATCATGCACCAAGATTCGGAGGAAGTTTTAGGTAATGTTTTGTCTATATTAGATGAATGGCATTCTAATTTGTACTTTTTATGCAGAAAACGTTGACGTGGTTGGTCTACTTATAGATCTCGTCCAACAGTACGAGTTCCTGTATGGCTATAAAAACACAAAAAAGAAAGAGCAAGCATGGCTTGAAATCTCCGAAATAGCCACTTAAGTGGTAAGTACCTACATACATTTATAAAGTATCTACATTTTCATTGCGTTTTAGTGGAGGAATGTATGAAATTATGGAAGAACCTTAGGGATCGATTTACAAGAGAAAAACGATTAAAGCCCTCAGGTTCGGAAGGCGATGACACCAACTGGGTGTATTATGAGAAAATGTCCTTTTATAATAAATGTACTCGCCCGAGGAAGTAAGTTCTGTTAAATTGTATGACGATTTACCTATGTGGTGTATTTGCAGAACATACACTTCAACACAACCTTCGACATCAAAGACAAAAAATCCCGAAAAGGAACCCACTCCACGTCCCACCTCATCTTCTTCCTCAGGATGGTCTGGGATAGATACCATTCTTATCACCCCAATGAGAAGGGGAAACGGGTGATAATGTCGATGTCCACCTTGACGAGACCGTGGTACGCGAGGTGGTACCCCTTTCCCAAACCACCCCACGTAGGAAAAAAGATAATTTTTACATGGTTAACTTTATAAGTACCTACATATTTTATAACTTTAAGGGGTGAGCACTACAAAAGGGGGTGAAATTGAAGCTGTGCTTGATTCAGCCAGGCAGATTGTGACTGACTGCGATTGAAAAAAAAAATAGCAGTCAGGTTCTAGACCAGAACCGCACTTTTGTCGAATATGTATATTCACGAATATGTGAAATGCCTTCCGACGAGGCAAAGGAAAAGCGAAAGGCTATTTTAAGAGTGGTAGAAAATTTATAATAAGATAGGTACATTTAGTTTTAAGTTTTTACATACACTTTATTTAGTCCACCTTCTTCTAAGCGCTTTCCAAAAACACTATTTTTTAAAACACCACCATCACTTTGCGATCCCTATGCTCCTATATCGACAAAGGTGGATCGATATTGACTATCACAAGCTGCCAAGAGTACAATACTAAAGTTATGCTTATAATTGTAAAATAAAGATCCTGAACGTGGAGACGCTTGGATATTGACGTGCTTGCCATCGATGGCACCTCCCAATGCTGCAAGAAGCCAAGTGATATATCCTGCCATTCTTTTTCTGTAGACGGAGATTTCAGATAAATGGGACTAAGCTGGTCCCATATTACTACACACGTTTCATGTATTATTTTGTGAACAGTTGTTACGCCCACGTTAAAGTTCCAAGCCAGGACTTGCATACTTGTACCTTGAGATAAATATCTAAAAACACATTAATTGTATTAGGTGCAAATTGTAATAAGTGCTTACTGCAAAGTGATAATTAACCGCTGTTCAGGAGAAATGGTATCACATCTTATTTGACGTTTCAGGAATGGTTTTACAATTCCCAACAATATTTCAAATGCTTGTGCGTTCATTCTGGTATATTTAAAAAATTGAGGAACATCATACTCTTTCAAATCGTTACAATGAATACGTTAACCGTCTGACGCCAAGTTTATAAATTATGTTAATCTCAATGGCGAACGTCAACGGTAACGCAATGGTAACTGCACTGCAACTCAGTTTCGCACAATTACTTTTTATTCTGCCTGGTAGTTTTTACTTAGTTAACACTTAAAACAAGCGTCAGCTGGCGCGACTGCGTGGCGTGATGGTATGAGAGGCTGAGAAACACGTAAAAAAAATTGTACTATCTAACAAAGGCGCTGATTTTTTGGCAGTAAAACGTCTAGGAGGATGGAAGTCGTCTTCTGTCGCTGAAGGTTATATTGAGGATTCGCTACATGCGAAAAGAGCAATAGCGAGCACATTCGGTGATGAAGCTGCATCTTTAACAGCAACACGATCTGCTGCCTCATCTTCTGTTAATGTAGCGGAAAGTTCTCCTTTGGACATGCCGCATGATAGGCAACGTAATGAGCCAGTATGTCCACTACCAACGGTAATACGTGTGTTTATATCATGGGTAATACCAGGTTCGTCGACTTCGATCGAAAATGTGGAGCAGCAAGAAATATGTCACACTGCATTAGAAAATGTTAAAGGCACTCTAGTGATTAAAAACTGCCAACTTTCACTGTAAATTTTATTACAAACAAATAAGCAGGCATTAGTTGTAAGAATTAAATATTTACCTTCCTTTGCTTAATTTTAGTCAACAGTTCCATGTTCGGTTTCACTAACGAATGTACGCTTGTTTCCTATAAAGCAAAGGTAAGCAAAATGGTATTACTACTATCAACGCTCCATCATGACGATGCAATTAATCCTGAAAGCGGAGAAGCAGCAAAACCGGAAATAATCATTACCTACAATTCCACAAAATGCGGTGTTGACTTGAACGATGCACTTCAGAAAAAATATTCTGTGTCAAGAAAAGCAAACCGGTGGCCTCTAGTAATATTTTATTTTTTGCTCAACGTGTCGGGAGTGAATTCTTATGTAATATACAAGGAAAACACTGTGAAAAAGATGAGGAGACAAGACTTTTTGGCATCACTTGGTCTTTCCCTAGTCTATGAACAAGGAAAACGACGAGTTTATAAAACAAACATTCCACAGTCCATGAAACTGAGACTCTGTGAATTGCTGAAGATAGAAAAGAATACAGTAAGTGTACCTCAATGTGCTTTCTGTCCATCAAAGAAGAATCGAAAATCTAAAACGTTGTGTTCAGTATGTAAAAGGCACATTTGCAAAGAACATACTACCGTAAAATGCAAAGAGTGTTCGGCTGTAGAAACTGGACATGAACATGATTCAGAATAAATAGACTAAGTAAAAGTTGCTTTATTCACAATTTGTTTTATTCTCTTGCATATTTGTATACCATTTATCTTTAGTATCTATTATAGAATGCTTTTATTTATTTAGAGTATGAATTTTTACCTTATTTTTTTTTATTTCTATTGATCTTATGTAAGAAAGTCTACAACTGCAAAAGTAGTTTGTAAACAAAATTGTGACACATTCTATAAATAAAATAAAATGTTGCAACAATGCTAATAAAATTTAGAAACATACAACGATGAACAAGATAGTGATACGGTATTGAGGGAATCCCCGCCGCGCGGGTACATTTGTTATTAAATGAGCGCGGGTACTCTGGTGTTAAACGAATTAAAGATCGAGAAGGAATCGAGGAATATTTGAGGTTAGATTGTTCATGTTCATGAAACTGCACAGTATAGCCACACTAAAACTTAAATACGCTACATAACCCTAACTAAACCACATTTTAAAGTCATTTTTTATGGAAATTATGATGATTAAACCTAAATTATTTTATTTGTTACTCAGTTGTAAACGTTGATTAACAAGACAAAACGCAAACGGGTAAACGTAATGTTTAAACGCTACTGACTTGTAAAACTGACAGCAGACCTGTAAAACTGACAGCAGACCTGTAAAAATTTTACAAGTTTGTAATCTAGTAATTTCATTGGCCAGAATTAATGCGAAGTCTCTGTTACATGGATCACATGATATTTTAGACATTTCTTCAAGATTAATTTAAGAACTAATTATTTACGTTTACAAATGAGTAACAAATAAAATATTGTACATTATACCTACGCCAGGTAATAGTTTTTACTGGCTCTAGGAGATGACAAGCTCGCCTAACGGCTCGCTAGTCAACTTCTCCTATCGCCAGTAAAAACTCACTTACCTGGCTAATAATGTAAAATACTATATCTATTTCCCATTTATAACCTTCTTATATCATAAGAATTCATTTACATATCAGTAGCTTTTCTAAATTGGAAGTTTGTATTTTGCCGCTCTAGATCTTTTTCATAACCATTGCAGGTTTCGATACTCGACCTAATACCGTCAATTGCCGGAAGGGCAGGACAAAAATGGTATATATAATAGTGTACAATGTAAAAAGAGCATAAATAACTTTCAGCTGATATTTAAATGTGGCAAAACCTGTTAGCTGGGGGGTCCAAAGTGTAGCGTAGCGTTAGCGGGCGCTAGCGCACGCGGCGACTTTGAATTTTGATGGGATAATTTGGGACTCCATTCTATACTAGGTATGGTTGAAAGTTTCTGTCACCTATTATTGCAGATTTTGTATGATGAATAACAGCGACACCAAATGCACTTCCTCAGAAAATCGCTCTCTACTGAGAACAAAATTGATGTATGAGCAGCAATTGCAACAAAACACTTCACAGACAGGTATCAAAGAATCCTGTATTTGGAATGGACTTGAAAATTTTCACTTGATTGATAACTATTCGGTTGATGTCATGCATCATATTTTGGAAGGGGTTTGCAATTATACTTGGAATTTTACAAAAACTTGTTATAGAATTTAAATTGTTTTCTTTAGATACTTTAAACTTTAGATTAAAAATGTTTAATTTTAGTGAATTGGAAAGTGGTAACAGGCCACCGTATTTAACCCCGGATTCCCTGGTGAAATTAAAAATGACAGCATCGGAGATGATGTGCTTTACTACATACCTTGGGGATATGATATATTGCTGTGTGCACCGGTCCGTAGGCCAAAAAGACCGCACACAACACATCTAAACAAACCTAGCTAGCTCAAACCCTTATATTTCCCGGAACAAAACTTCTCCCCTGCACGGAGGAGGAATTTGACTCTTTTCTCAGATAGTGGGTTAGACCAAATACCTTAAATTCCAAATCAATCTTAATAATTTTGATTAAATAAAATGGACCTTGGGCAAGTATTAAAAGAAAACAGTAAATTAAAGGAAATGAAATCGTTCGAAAGACAAACAGAAATTAATGTGAGAATTACAAATTTCAGTTTTAATGGTTACACAATAAAAAAAAAAACAAGGAAAACAAACAAAGAAAAAACTACAATTAAAACTTAATCTTACTTACATTCGGTACATGTCCAAAACTGCTAATCCCATATACGGTACACACAAACAAAAACAACAAATTTCAAAATTACACAAAAAACTCAAGTCGGCGCCGACCACACCTTGGTGACGCACTTCACTGAAGGTCCAAACTTCTAAAACTGCCGCAAACTCGGCTTTCCACTCCGTAGAACGGAAACTCCACCAGCTTCCAAAGCTGCTGGCCTCTACACAAACCAAACTACTGCGGTAACTCGCCGAAGCGAAATAAACAATCTTCACTCAAACCAAAAACTGCCCTGACTGGCAACAAACTGACGAAAACTTCAAAACTCCCAAAACAAAACTTCAAACTTCAACAAAATGCTGATTTCAAAACAAAGAAACGTAGTTCTGCGTTGACCCTGGCAAAAAGCCCTTCCTCTTTTCAGTCCGTTCTATTTAAGGTGGAAACCCTTCTTCCAAAATTACAAATTAAAACAGCCAATGATAAGCAGTTGTATGAGATATTGGAGTAGCAGAGTTTGCAATTTGCCTCAGTGAAACGTTAACTGTATATTAATAAAGATACAAAACTTGTGTAACTGTCAATCTATATTAATTCTGTACCTTGGAAAAACAAGGGCCAAACTCCACTCTCGTTGTTTTGTAATTGCTTATGTACGGTAAAAGTTCTTGTAAATTTTGTACCTTGGCTTCTGCCAAAGAAAGTGTTTCTGAATACATTGGTTTTAAATCTACCTTGATTGAACTTTCTCTTTTCCTTAAATTCCCTCAAAAGATGTTTTGTAATAAAATACGTACTCTTCTTCCCTTTTAAATTGAAGCCATTTGATTTTCATCCAGGGAATACATTCCCCTTGCTCATTTTTTTTCCTGTGAACTAATTTACTACTAAGCAACTCGCCGAAATAAAAAAAATCTTTCTGCTGCATTTCTACCACATCTAGTGGCGACTTTCTATACACTGTTTTAATAAAGTTATACCAGTCGTGCGGCACTTCTATATCCACAGTGGTTTTCTTTTTTGCGGTCTCAATTGCAGCATGTATTGAGTCTGCTTCCATATGTGTGTGTCCTGATTCTAAAAATTTGTGGTTTATTTCTACTATAGCACTTTCCGTTTGTTTTAATTCTTCCATGAGAACGCAGAACATGGTAATATGGAAGATATTTTTGTTTTGGCCTGTACAAGAATCGCTATAAAAATTTACAGTTTTGACTGCTGATGGCAAAGTGAACACAAATTTCCTAACACATGAAGCTATCTCCACACCTCCTCGGTTTGCTATGGTTTCGTCCCAAAGAAAGCACGTACCAGTACTTTTGTTTAGAGATGTACAATAAAAAGTAAGGTTAAAAGTCCATAACTGTCTTTTGTAAAAGGATAGTCCATTTTTTAAGTAAGGTGTAGGTAAACACTTTTCTAGATCGAATGAGGCTGTTATAACAGATTGATCAACTTTTGCAATATTCTTGTCTGCGCGTTTACTATTATAGGCACTTTCCGCCATGTCAAGGTGTTCAGATTTCTCTTTTTCTAATTTCTTCTTTTCTTCTTCTTGCTCTTGACTCAGCTCTGGAACGTTATTGATGGCTTTTAGCTCTTGATGAATTCTATCACATTTGCTGCAAGTGTCATTGGCAGGATGGTGGAATGACAAGTTATACTCTTCATTGAAGATCTTTCGGTATTGGCATTCTAATTGTGGAGGAATATTGTTTTTTTTACAATCCGTCCAGTACAGTCTATACAACTACGCAATCGATGTGTGGGCTTAAGTACTTTTTTGACGTTCTCTCACGGGAATAATGGCTTGTGTAGGCTGGAATGCTCTCTATGTGCCTTCTAATAGAGTCTTTGTCATTATTGCCTATCTTCTTGTGGGCCACGACCATCAGAAGGACACACGCCATTGTTTTTCCTTTTCTTTTCTATTATTACTCTCGCCTTCTTTAACGTTAGGTCAAAGGTACCAATATACATTTTTTGGCAAACTTCGATCCTAGGACCAGCTTGAGGCTGCAAATAATACCTCCTAGAAAAACTCCTTCTACTGCTTCCTTTATGCTCAGCAATAACTCTTTCTCTATTTTTAGAAATCTCTTCTACAGTCTGCGAAATAAACTGATCTTGGCCGTCTTTACTTAGTTTGTAAAACTCGTGAAATAAAAGTTGACGTTCTTCTTCGGTTATTTTATTATAACATTTTTTCTTGCATTGGCAGGGCTGTTTTAAATTCTTGGCGTTTATTTGTTTCCCCTTTTTCGTTGTATATTCCAACCCCCTTTCTCTTTTTTCCTTTCTTTGAGTCTGTGACCACGTCTTGGGCTGCTTAACACGTTTTCTGGTTCTATCTTCTTCAGCAGTCCTCTTTCTACCACCTCCAACCCTTTTTTTTTTCGGTCATCTGATCCATCATCTTGAAGCACATCATGTTTTCTGGTTGTATCCTCATCAGTTGTCATTCCGCCATCTCCAACTCTTCTTTTTCCGTCATCTGTTACGCTATCTTCAAGTTCACCATTTTCGTTTGATGTATTCATCTCCTCTTCATTAGGTACTTTGTCCTGATCGTCCGATACGTCTACTTCTCCCATATCCTCGTACTCGTCTACTGCTTCAAACCCATGCTAAAATCGCAAGGAAATGAAATTATACCTTAACACCGATATTGCGCATTTCACGACTTCTACTTACATTCTCGTCAATAGAACATAAAGGACTCTGTTGCTGCATCGTCACCAATTCCAAATAATCTCCATTTCGATCTTGTGGCTGGAATTCCTGGAAATCGCGGAAAAAAAATTGAATTGTTGTCTACTACTTATTTTTAATTCTATGTTCTAAAGAGTCGCACTGACTTCAATGAAAATGACTAAAATTATGGTATACTGTCGAATTATTTGTACGTACATTTGACTCCACAGGTACCGGTGGAACTGCCTGTAGGTCCATGAACGTTTCTAAAATAGTATCTCCTAATGGTGTTGACAGTAAGAGTTGCTGGTGTGTTTGATTCACAGCAGACTGAATACTGGACCCCTATGTTCAACAGTAATTACTGAACAAATCACAACTCTTTCTAAGTACCTAATCTTAATAATTGATCGAGCAAGCAAATAAATTATAAACTTCACAAAGTGGTATACTATTATTTAGATATTTACACATATCAACGCCGGTAAAACTTCTATAAGGCTGGAATCCATCTCTGCAGAAGTACTAACCTGGTCTATAGATTCTGTAGGAGAAAAGTTAAAAATAAGTTTACTTATTAATTTAAAATGTTTCCGCTTACCGTTGCGATTCCCACATTTCATAGCTGATAATTTAAGAATTTCTTTTGTTCTTTTACTGCACATTTTGAACTAATGCACTTGCACAACCACAACATGAAAGTTAAAATTGCAAAATGTACCTGTTGCACGTGTTTACCCATTCGCACTTGCGTATAGCTAGTTCGTTATTAAATAGGCCAATGTCCACTTTAATACAAGAGAACATAAGGCCAATGTCCACAATAAATGGAGTTTGGCCCTTTTATTTGGTTTCATACATAACAACCTTAAGGCCAAAGTGGGAAATTGGCCATTTTAAAATTGAAGCTAATAGTCACATTGGCCTTTAAGAAGTAATTTATTTTAGTAATGACATGTTCTAGGAGATTGGCCTCTTTTACACATAAAGGTAGAAAGCACATAAGTATAATAGTGTTATAAACTTCAATTCAAAATGGTAATTTTGGAGATTGGCCCTTTTTCTTCCAAGGTACAGAATTGTGACAACTCTAACTCACTTCATCTACAATGTACAATGTGACTCGCTATCCACATTCCAACAAGTTGCCAACAGAAAATATCCCCCCTAACGCACGTTAAACCAGAGGTAGAAATTATTTTTATAACCAATTTTTAACCGACATTAAGAGATAACACAAAATTAAAATACTAGGAAAAATAGAATTTTCTATCTTTTAAATACAATGCAAAGGCGATAAATAACATCCACCTGTCAATTAAATTAAGCGTTTACAATGATAACAGAATAAAAGCGATATAAAATTCTCAGAAATCTACCTTAAATAAAATCAAAAATGAGATTAAAATGTAAACACTACAAACCTTGACCTCTTTTTCGTAACAATAATTTCTGTTGATGTACTTAACGAACGATATAAAACAAAAATTTAAATTTAAAAAAATTAATTACATGGAAACCGCCCTTGTCCATTCTAGTTAAGAATCCCAAAATTTCGTCCTGCCAGACACACACACACACACATCCCGCTATCATTATTGCGTCCGTACGTATTTGTACTTTATTGCGTCTCCTAGAACGGATAGGAATTCTTAAACTATTGCCGCGAATGTTGGTTTGGAATCGTATGTCGTGGCTAGAATCGTAACCAGATTTCAAAAATTCCCAGTATTTCGATATACGAATTTTCAGTCATATTGAATCATTCGTGCGTCCTTTCATATGCGCCATTGTCGCGCCCGTATATGGATTTCGCCGTATATTATTGCGTCCTGCAATGTTGCCAATGTTAATGCTCAGTCATTCCTCGTCTAATCACATATTCAAGAGGACGTTGATCCGGCAGGAATTAATTTAATTATACGAGTCCAATTGCTTTTCCTTGTAAAGGTGTGGAACTTAGTATAAAATTTTGATTTTGGTTTTTGTCGACGTATGTCTATTGTCATTACTTGTATCGAATTTGTAAGGTAGAAGTAAATAATTATAAATAAATGAATGTTTTCTTATAAGTTATTGGTGATCGATTTCGCTTTTATTTAGCATATTCGGACCTTAGCGTCAATTAATAAAGGTCCGAAGATGCTAAATAAAAGCGAAATCGATCACGTATAAGAAAACATTCATTATTACTATAATTACTTACTTTTACCTTATCTACAAATAAAACAATTTTATTGAATAAAATCTTTTGAATTTTTACATTTTCGCAGATCAGCTCGGGGTTACGGAATAATGCAAAAAAATAAAAGTGTACGCTTGCAGTTAAAATTTGTTTTTAAATGCTGGAAATAGTATAAGAGACGTCACGTATCAATTGAACCTCCCCAAGTTAATATTTACAGCCATTAAAGGGGGGTCAGCTGTTAACCATCAACCAAAAATATTCAAGGCGAAATTTAATTTGTTGATAACCAAATACAACCTTTTAAGTTAAACCATTTTAAAGAATAGAATTTTTTGGATTGTTACATTTTCGGAGATCAGCTCTGGGTTACGGAATATTGCAAAAAAATTAAAGTGTACGCTTGTAGTAAAAATATGTTTTTAAATGCTGGGAATCGTATAAGAGACGTCACATTTCAATTGAACCTCGCCAAGTTAATATTTACAGCCATTAAAGGGGGGTCAGCTGTTAACCATCAACCAAAAATATTCAAATGCGAAATTTAATTTGTTGGTAACCAAATACCACCTTTTAGGTTAAACCATTTTATCGAATAGAATTTTTTGAATTGTTACATTTTTGGATATCAGCTCTGGGTTACGGAATATTGCAAAAAAATTAAAGTGTACGCTTGTAGTAAAAATTTGTTTTTAAATGCTGGGAATAGTATAAGAGACGTCACGTTTCAATTGAACCCCGCCAAGTTAATATTTACAGCCATTAAAGGGGGGTCAGCTGTTAACCATCAACCAAAAATATTCAAAAGCGAAATTTAATTTGTTGATAACCAAATACAACCTTTTAGGTTAAACCATTTTAAAGAATAGAATTTTTTGAATTGTTACATTTTTGGAGATCAGCTCTGGGTTACGGAATAATGCAAAAAAATTAAAGTGTACGCTTGTAGTAAAAATTTGTTTTTAAATGCTGGGAATAGTATAAGAGACGTCACGTTTCAATTGAACCCGCCAAGTTAATATTTACAGCCATTAAAGGGGGGTCAGCTGTTAACCATCAACCAAAAATATTCAAAGCGAAATTTAATTTGTTGATAACCAAATACCACCTTTTAGGTTAAACCATTTTATTGAATAGAATTTTTTGAATTGTTACATTTTTGGATATCAGCTCTGGGTTACGGAATATTGCAAAAAAATTAAAGTGTACGCTTGTAGTAAAAATTTGTTTTTAAATGCTGGGAATAGTATAAGAGACGTCACGTTTCAATTGAACCTCGCCAAGTTAATATTTACAGCCATTAAAGGGGGGTCAGCTGTTAACCATCAACCAAAAATATTCAAGAGCGAAATTTAATTTGTTGATAACCAAATACCACCTTTTAGGTTAAACCATTTTATCGAATAGAATTTTTTGAATTGTTACATTTTTGGATATCAGCTCTGGGTTACGGAATATTGCAAAAAAATTAAAGTGTACGCTTGTAGTAAAAATTTGTTTTTAAATGGTGGGAATAGTATAAGAGACGTCACGTTTCAATTGAACCTCCCCAAGTTAATATTTACAGCCATTAAAAGGGGGTCGGCTGTTAACTATCGACCAAAAATATTCAAAAGCGAAATTTAATTTGTTGATAACCAAATACCACCTTTTATGTTAAACAATTTTATTGAATAGAATTTTTTGAATTGTTACATTTTTGGAGATCAGCTCCAATATAATTAAACTTATCTGGACGCAACAATGTACTTTCCGAATGGAGAGTATAATAATTATCCTCACTTAAGATATAAAAAGATGATTATCTTATCGAAATGATGTCTATAAATAGCTTACAGTGTTGCCACATGTTGGACGCAATAATATACCAACTTTGTAAAACGTATACTTGAAAGCGTATACTAATTTACCGCCCCTAGCTGCAAAGTGCTGAACTAAAAATATACAACTTCGTACGTATTGCAACTATTATTGCGTCCACTAAAAATTCGTTATCTTTTAATATCTCGAAAACGGCAAGAGATGTCTCAAAGCTGGTTTGTGCTATAGGAATCTGTTAAACCGGTCCATCCTTCGTTGATAGTATTTGAATGATAAAATGGCGGGAACATGGAAATACAGGCGATGCCTTTATTGCGTCCGATATTCGGACGCAATAGTTCGAAGGACGCAATAATGATAGAATGATGTGTGTATATATATATATATATCGAGGGCTTCAGGTCAGAGAGGCGTATCAACCATTTCACTAATTTTACAGGAAATGAAAAAAACGTTTTAAAATTCTATTTTTTCATTATGACGTATGAATTTCATTAAACTATTTGTTTGAATAATAAAATATATGCATGTAAAATTTTAGGTCATTTTATTAAAAAAAATCGAAAATATGGTCTTTACGCCTATGTGGTTCAACAGCGTATATGCCAATGCAGTTAAAAGAAGAAGGCGTAATACATTTTTTTTTATTTTAATTCGAAAGAAATACAAAAAAATCGCCACAAAGAAATCATTTTTTTTGCAAGTAACGCTCCTTCATTACTTGAAGTGACACTTCATCTTCTGAGTCGTAATCCTCACTATTGGTGTTACCTGCTTGCACTGGAAGTGATCTATAATATTGGTGGTATTGACGAGGAATAATTTTGTCTTTACCATGGCACATTTGCTGCAAATCATTAAATTTTTTTTTCTGAATTGGGATTTGGTCAGTGTACGCCTTCTTCATCTCATAGCTTGAATTCCTGGCTGTTGGCTTTCTTCCTCTGCGTCCCGTGTTTATACGTTTGAACTCTTCTTCCCAGTATTCACTTTTATATTGCATTACATTAGGTTGTTCCTTGTCAAATCTCAACCATTTTACCTCTTTCCAACTGAGAATACTACCATCATCAGCTTTCTTTTTGTTTACCATGATTTTCCCTTGCAAGTCCTTATAATCAAGAAAGTCATCGTGGTGCAAAACGCTTACCTTAAAAGGGTTTTTTTTATTTGACAAAATCACAATATTTATCCAGTCATCTGGCCAAAAAATTTTCGACTTCTCAGACGCTCGTTCTATGGCAGCGTGCATGGAGTCGCACTCCATGTGCGTATGGCCTGGTTCTAAGAATTTCAAGTCGATAATTTTTAGATGTGGTACAAGACATACTGCTTGTTGTAACATGCACGCAACAACTGCATTTCGATTTTGCCCTGGACAACAATCTGAATACAGCACTAGATGTCGGACAGTGTTAGAAATACTGTGGATAAATTTATTTAAGCAGGTAGCAATTTCATTGGAACCTCGATTTCCTTCGAATTCCGTCCAAATGTATGAATGGCCCTGTCTTTTTGGTACTTCATAAATCGTAAAATTAAATGTTGCTAATTTTCTTTTGTAAAAAATTGGTTTTGCATGAAACAGTGGACTGTACAGCACCGCTTCCAAATCAAAATTGGCCGATAAGTACGTATCATCTGTTTTGGACTTTTCAGAATCTTTTCTTTTCTCTTCATTTGCGGCACATTTTCTACGAATGTGAAGATCAAATTCGGCTTGCCTGTCTGTTTTTTGATCTGCAGGCAATTGCTCAAAATGGTGGCACCAGCATTGATCCTTTTTGGGTTTATGAAATCCTATATTTTTTTCAATAAGAATCTCTTTATAGTTGGTGCGTGATATAGGTTTTTTTTTATTTGTAATACAGTGCTCGAGGTACAAGTTGTACATTTTTTCTTTGTTTAAGATTGTTTCCAAATACTCCTTCTTGGTATCTCTCCGACACCAATGAGCTGGAACTCTGGGAAACGAGTCAATGTGGTTGATTGCGAACACGATTTCATCTTCTGCATGTTTGTTAGCAGGTGTATGTCTACCTCTTTTATCGGGGGAGGGAATTCCTGCAGCGTTTCGAGCTGATTTTTCAACGGAAGTTCGAACCATTTTTTCGGAAATATCTAAAGTTTGCAGGAAAAAGTATTTACATACTTGATGCTCTGTTCCTCCTTGAAGAAGCGAAAAAGTTTGTGAGAATTTTCTTCTCGAGCTCTCCACTCGACCTCGTTCAGCAAGTTGGCGACGAACACGAGCTGCAATGAAGTCACGTTGTCTGCTCAAATCTTTCATATCCCAAAAGCTCTTTGATATTGATATTTTATCTTCATCTCGAATTTTTAAATGACACTCGCGTTTGCATTTACATGTTTCACCAAGGTTTTTTGGTCTTCTCTCTCTTGCAACTTTTCCTGCCGTTGTCAAGTAGCTTTCTCCTGCATTTCGTTTATTTTTCCGTACATTTTTCTTCCACTGCTGTGGAACCTTTCGTTTTGCCCTCTTTCGTTTTCCACCACCACTGCTCTCATTATCTTTTGCATTTTCTTCTAATTCTGTTTCATATTCGTCTTCATTATCTTTTCTAATATTTTGTTCAAATTCAGTTTCATACACTCTTTCCTTGTCTATTCTTACACTACCTTCAATTTCAGATTCACACTCATTTTCATCCATAGCAATCATTTCAGTTTCAAATTCTGTTTCATACACACCTTCATTGTCCATTCTTATTCTTACATCTTCAATTTGCGTTTCATACTGATTTTCATCCATAACAATCACTTCATTTTCAAATTCACAAGGATCCGGTCTCATCTCTATTAACTCTAAACAAATTTAATTTAGAAAAATAGGTAATTACTATGATTTGATAATACCAGTTATGTGGCCATCAGTGTTCTTTGATGGTAATTCTATGTTTGGCCGCAATCCGACTTCAACTAATGATTTATCTAGATCACTGGTAGTTTCAACAAAGGTGCTACTACTTGTAAAGGTAGCATTAGTTGCATCATCTAAAAAATTAAATGATTTTAATTTCTATGGGAGTTTATCCACAAATGTGGTAATATCTAAATACAACAATACCGCTACTATACATAAAGAAGATTGTGTAGACCTACCTTCTTTGTTTTGATTTGCAGCACATAACTGTAACATTAGTTTGCCTCGTGATGTCGTGTTAAACATTTTAAGACCTCTTAAACACAAACTCAAAATAAACTAACACAAAGACACAGTAATAGAAGTGTTTCAAACATAACCTCTGATGACATTTGCGTCTGTTTACCGACTGAGAAAAGCAACATTTTCGGGGGCGTATGTACATACGCCTTTCTGGCATAACCTTATGTGTACCATCATCGCATCTGGAAGGGGCGTATGTACATACGCCTCTTTGGCATAACCTTAAGTTCACCATAGGCGTATACGCCTTTCTATTTTTTATTATATAGTCGTAATTTGTATTAGAATTTATAAGTCCCTCTGGCACGACATAGAAAACACCACCATGTAACACATACGCCCGAAATTGTCATTTTGATAAATTTGGTTGATACGCCTATCTGGTTTGAAGCCCTATATATATATATATATATATATATATATATATATATATATATATATATATTGCTGTGTATACCGGTCCGTAGGCCAAAAAGACCGTACAGAACACCTAACAGAACCTAGCTAGCTCAAACCCTTATATTTATCGGAACAAAATTTCTCCCCAGCACAGAGAAGGAATTCGACTCTTTTCTTAGATAGTGAGCTATTAGACCAAATACCTTAAATTCCAAATCAATCTAAAAAAATTTTGCTTAAATAAAATGGACCTTGGACAAGTATTCCAAGAAAGCAGTAAATTAAAGGAAATGAAATCGTTCGAAAGACAAACACAGAAATTAATGTGAGAATTACAAATTACAGTTTTAATGGTTACACAATAAAAAAAACAACAAGGAAAACAAACAATTATTACAAAGAAAAAACTACAATTAAAACTTAATCTTACTTACATTCGGTACATGTCCAAACTGCTAATCCCAATACGTTAGGGGAGGGTGGGCCACCATGAGACAAAAATTGTATTTTATTTTTTTCTTGATAAACGATTAATTAATTCGCAAAAGTAAATATACCGCCTCAATCGCCCATGTTTTGCACACAATATCTATATTTTGTGATAGTGATAATAATCAAGGAAAATCCAAATCGACTTGTTTTCTTTTAAGTAACAATTGTCTCATTGTGGCCCACTGGCGGGCCACCATGAAACAGCACTAGGGCCACAATAAAACAGCACATTTTTGTACTCAAATGTGTATTTCGGTAAAGACCTTAACGAACATCAACAGCTGAAAAGTTTACAGGAAACTTAAAAATACAACGTTGCCGCTTTGTTGTTCCAGAAGATGTTTCTGGAGCAGGTAATATCATATTAATGTTCTCCAAAGCTACTGACGCTAAATCGGGAATATCAGGAAACATAAAACTATTAAAACATTTGAGGCTTCGTCTCAGGTAACTAACTTCAAAATCGTTTTCTTTGTCTTTTGCAGATATCACTTTTCCCACGTAATAAACGTCTTTTTTAGCAGAAAATTTCACCAAGACAAAATCTCCCTCTCGTGGCTCACGATTAATCGTAGCCTCTTCCATATCATCATCAGGCTTCGGAGGCCATTCAATGTCATCTGAGCTATTATCAGAAATTTCCATTTCACTTTCAGACGTTTCTTCCACTTCTTTTTTACTTGTGAACACCTTTCTCACATGTGGTTTTTTCTTCTTGTTACGTTTCTCATTTTGTTTAGCTTCTATTAGATCTTTTTCAGGCGTATCTGTTGGAATTAAGCTTCGACCCTTTCGAATATTGCGTGTCTTTTTCCTTTCTCCCGCTTTTGGAAACCCCTCGAATTCTTGTGGAGAAATAAATGGTTTTGATGCTCCCCTGACATTGGATGTTGATGGGATGCATGTCGACGGTCTGCATGTTGATGGTGGTGGGGTTGAATGTCTGATTGAGGATAAAGTGATGCTTTCTGCTGATGGCGTCGTCTGCTCATGACTTTTTGTGTTGGGATCTTCTCGATCGGTTACAGCACTAACCAAAAAATCATCGTCTGTGAAAATATTTCGGTCAAAGGGAAATAATCCGGTTTTTCGGAAGCCAGATTTTATATTGCTTGGAGTCATTGCACGATCATGCGCCACTCCAACACAGCCAGCAATATCGTAAATGGTAAGAGGAATGCCTGGGTGATGTAACAACCAAGAATCGACTGCTCTGTTATAATGTGCTTTAAACGAAGCAAACACCGACACATCCAGGGGCTGCAGCAATGCGGTGGTAATGTTACAATAGTCACACCGTGATCCTTCGCCAAATTCAAGGTATTGATGGTCAAGTGACTTTCATGATTGTCGAAAATCAATATAGTGGGATTTTCCTTAGACGATCCAGAATGATGGATAAAGTGCTGCATTGCATTTACAAAGAGTTCGCCATTCATCCATCCACTTGGATTGGTCAAACCAAGAGTTCCTGGAGGAGCGCCGTTAATCATTGGTGGTTTAAAATATTTGCGGGGGAAAACCATTACTGGTGGCAATGAGCACGAGCACGATGCAGCCTGTAGTAACCAATACTCCCCTCTCACCACTTGTAATTTGACTCACTTGCTTCATGCCTTTTTGTGCTATTACTTTTTTTGTTGTCCAGTCGTTGTTCCTGTTTCGTCAAGATTGTACACACGGCTACCATCCGCAAATAGTTCTGAACGAGAATAGGCTTCTTCAAGGTTGTTGAAAAATTTATCAACATTGTGTTTATTAAAAGAAGTGGCTCTTGACATGCTACAGTTCTCCGGTTGTCTAATGCTGACTTCAGGATTTCGTTTTATAAACGCTTGCATCCAGTCAATGCTGGCTCTTTTCGAATCTTCCCATGAAGGATGGATTGGAATCGAATTTATCTTTGCCATCTCATATGCCAATTTTCTCACATCTATTGTAGATTTTCCGTAGCACATTTTTGAACAACGTAGAATATAATCTACTAACATTTTTTCCTGCTCTGAGGTAAAAATTAATCGTGATTGATAATTAGGCTTCATTGTGACTTCCTCCAGTGATTTATTAGGGTCAGCTTTAAGCTTCTTAACATATCTAAACAACGTCTGGAATTTGACGTTGTTATTGCTTGCAGCAACACGTAAACATACGTTATGTCGGACAACTTCTTCCACAACACGTTTCATAGAAGCTTCGGAAAAGTTGCCTTTCTCAGTTTTCCGTTTCCGACCTCTAGACATCTTTGGCTTTCCGCTGGACCTGACATTTAAAGCAACAATGTTAAACATCTGTAAAATTACTACTTGTTTGTTATAATATAATATGGGTCACAGTGAGACTTGTCTCATGGTGGCCCGAAATAATCGTCTCTAAGTGGCCCAACAGTGCCAGGACGACTTTTTATAGGTTATATTTTTGTCAAGACCACGATGACTTAAACTTCTCACATAACAATATTCCTAAATAGATGCTTAATGAAACTGTATATGGTACTTACTCGTACTTTCCCACAAAACGTCCAAAAAACACACGTACAACTCAGCCCCAGAAAAACTTCACTAACCTCGAAACAATGAAACCGCTGGTATAATATGTAGTTTTAAGATACTATAATATCTTATTCTGTAGTAGCACTCTGGTGCGTAGATTTAGAACTAGAACATGTTGACTGCATCTACAGACATGTTGATGTTGTGTTCCAATTAAATGTTATACTTGTGTGTCCTGTTTATTATTTTACCTAGAGACAGCGATACTAAATAATACATGGTGTCAGGTAGTTGTGGAACACAAATTGTAGTTTGAATGTGTGCACCTAGTAAAGAGCACGTGGAAGTTTTGTAAAATTACGCAACACTTGTCAATAAAATGGACGGCTTATTTAAACCGCCGGATCCCCTCGTTTTGGACGGCAATATTTCAGAAAATTGGCGTAAGTTTGAACAAAGATTTGACCTTTTCCTTGTAGCAGCTGACCTAGACAAAAAAGCTGAAGGAAAGAAAGTAGCAGTTTTTCTCAATGTGATTGGCGAGGATGCATTGGAATTATACAATACATTTACATTTACCGAAGAGGAAAAGAAAGAGAAGACCTTGACCCTGATAAAGCAAAAATTTACGGAATACTGTTCGCCAAAGAAAAATGTAATCTTCGAACGCTTCAAATTCAACAGCATAGTTCAGGCAGAAGGACAAACCTTTGATAATTTCTTGACAGATCTACGAAAAGCAGTACAAACCACAGAATATTCTGATCCAGATGATATGATACGAGATAGAATCGTCATGGGAATCAAGAACAAGATAGTACAAGAAAGATTACTACGAGAAGCCGACATCACGTTACAGAAAACCATTGATTTCTGTAGGGCCTCTGAAGTAAGCAAGAATCAGTCCAAGGTACTACAGCAAGAAGTTGACGTGAGCACTGTTAAACAAGCAACGCTAAAGTGTAAATACTGTGGGTACAAGCACGCACCTAAAAAATGTCCTGCCTTCAAGAAGACCTGCGCGAAATGCCAAGGAAAAAATCATTTTGCTTCCGTGTGTACGCGTGAAAAGGCAACCAATGAAACCAAGAAGTACACAAAGAAAAGGAAGGATGTACATGAAGTGTCTGGAACGGAAGATCATCAACTCTGTGGAAGTGAAGAGAGTGGCGAAAGTGAATGCGAGTTTTACGTGAGTGCAATTAAAAGGGAAGCACATAAAGAGTCCATGTGGTTCAAGAAAGTGGAAATCTGTGGCAAGTCGATAAACTTTAAATTAGACACGGGTGCCGAGGTGAGCGTACTACCAGTAAATATTTTAGAAACGTTACCTAAATGTAGGATCGAGAAGTCAAATGTATCTTTAGTTTCTTATGGAAGTACAAAATTTAAAATTACTCCTGTTGGTGAAGCTGAACTGAAATGTAAGGTAAACAAGTACGTGTGTAATATTAAGTTTGTAATTGTCGATACTAGAGATCAAATGCCATTACTAGGATTGCAAGATTGTATTAGATTGCATTTAATTAAGCGAGTGGATGAATTACAGGCTAGTTTTAAATCATCCGAAGATGTAGTGAATAGGTTTCCTAGTGTATTTCAGGGGTTAGGAACATTTCCTAACAAGCATCATATAACGTTAAATGAAAATGTAAGTCCTACAGTTGCACCTATTAGGCGTGTCCCTCAAATTTTACATAATCGTTTAAAATTAAAATTAGAGGAGTTAGAGAAATCAAATAGTATTAGAAAAGTAGAGCACCCTACTGAGTGGCTTCAACCGCTAGTAATTGTAGAAAAACCTAATGGAGATTTAAGACTGTGCTTAGATCCCAAACAGTTAAACTGTGCTATTAAGCGCGAACATTTTCTAATACCTTCTATGGAAGAAATATCCGCCAAATTAAGTGGTAAAAAATTCTTTACTGTGCTTGACATGAAGGACGGTTATTGGCAA